ATGTAGCCTATTGGTCAAAGAGGAGAATTATAGAAGAATCATAAGATTTTACTAGATTTCTTGATTCCTCCATTTTACAGTAAATTTATAGACGATGGATATATATGCTCAAGAAATTACAGCCTGTTATCTCGTACCTCAAAACCAAGTTTATGCACATCCATAGCCTGGAGAATAGAGATGAATGTCGGAATTGATGAAAGCTTGGTCAAGCTAAGAGCTAGGCTATCGTACATACAATTCAACCATAAAAAGCAAACCACATTTGGCATAAAAATGTACAAGCTCTGTAAATTGTCCAGTGTTTATTACAGCGGTTTAAGATTAATACTGGAACAGACAAAACACCCGACATGCCAGCAAGCTCTGCAGTTGTCCTTCAGTTGGCAGATCCACTGGATCATGGACTGATATAACTCACCTGATTTTGATAGAGCATAAAGCTCACATTGTTGGTACAGCAAATCAAACTAGAATAAATATAAATATGCCAGAAGAGTTTTAAAAGCCTATGCTTGAGCTCAGAGAATCAATGTGCATGAGAAAAGACGGCATCCTCGCTATGCAGTGAAGGATAAAAAGGTGCAGATCCTCTCTACTATCCACGAAGGGATAGAAATGACTGTAGAAAATGAGGTAACTAGAAGGGGTCAAACCCAGTAGTTATAAAGCCCAAATGTGTGCTCGACTAAGTTACAACAATGGCATGCTTGGGGTTGATGTCCAGGATCGGAGAATGGCGTCCAATCCCCATAAAGAGACGGATGATCGAGGCACATAAAAAGCTTGTTTTTCTACTTGGTCTATTTGGCTGTTTTTAATAGCTTCTGTGTCTGGCTTAAAATCCACAATGCAGATATGCACTACCGAGACTACCAGTTGAACATCATCGACGAAATATTAGCTCATGTTTTTCTTCGTGAGAAAACCAGCACAGGAAGACCGTTGCTAGACAATCCAATAAGGTTGCAGTTTAGACAATGGACCCACTTTCTTATACAAAACCCAAAAACTGCCAAAAACCATTTCCTTCTAGAAATTGTAAAGTAAAACATGACAAATTATTGAAAGTAAGGTGGCTCTGAAAGAAATGCTGATGTGGCTGTACACTTAGAAAACTTTTGAGGCCGATCACACTACATCTGACTATTAGGCCATAAGGGAAGAAGTGTAGGAGTGTGTAAATATAGTTGTGGTTTTATAAATTTTATAGTACTAGTATTTTTCATATAGGCCTAGTTATCTTGGTTTTACTCAAATTTTTTATTTATTTATTTTTAATTTTTTTACTTACATTTGGTAACATTAAAAAATCCATCCAAACCTTTATAAATATTATATTTTTTATAAAGGCAATTTTATTAAATTTCTAGAAAAAAAGGTTTAACTTATCAAAATATTTGCACAAAAAAATTAGGCCCATAGCCATTTTATTTCATTTTCTCGAGTATAACTTACGAATTAAAAAATGCTGGCAGCGAAAGAGTTAACACTATTGTAGCTAGTTTAATGCACTTTCATATAAATGTGTACCTATAAACTGCAAAGTCCTCACTGATGACTCACTGACTGACTCACTCACTCACTCATCACTTAATTCTCCTACTTCCCATCTACCTAGAAGACTGAAATTTGGTACACTGATTCTTTAGGCATTGAATAGGAAAACTACGGTATGTAGTTTTTATTCTGATCTGACTTTCGGGCTCCCAACCAGTAGCTCTGGAGTTTCCTATGTTAACCTAAAGTACTTATTTAATAGACTTATTTAATGGAAAAGACCTATAACTTTATTGATGAATTACTGAGTAATGAAGACATTATGTAGGCCTACCAATCTATTTAAACCAAAATGAAGACCACGGCTGAAATGCTACAAGTGGGATACCTTCAAGTATGCAAGTAAGTAAGTACTTTTTAAAGTCAAACTGGGCATAGCTCACGGGTAACAGCTAGTATAATATATTTCGAGGTAGGGCCTACTTTTTATGATACATTTTAGGCCTATAATTTATTTCCTAAAACTCTGTATTTTACCCGAAATTGCTCAACTCAGTAGTAGCCATGCAGAAATATTCATACTTATTCTAATGGGTTAAATTGGCTGAGACTAAGTTTAATCCTGTACTTATACAGAAAGCTTAATTTATTGGTTTATTAAGTTAAGCCTAAAATTAACATTTTGGCAATTTAATTAACTTATGTTCTTTGAGACAGTGACACACTCAAGAGGTGGACAGTCTTATAGGCTATTCAGCTGAATGAGCTATAGCAGATTTATCCTACCATTAATAAGTTATGTATACGGTAAATAAATAGTCTATGAATGCACAATGATTGTTGTTAGGAGCGATGATCTCTGAATCTTATTTTACTTTCTCTTGCCAAAACAATTTATTCAAAGCCCCATAATCAAGGACAGCTGGGTTCACTTTCGAACCATCAAAAGCTCTCAGGGGAACAGGGGACTCTCAAGCACTACAATTACTTAGGCCAGCCGGGTACACTTCCATATCTGTTGGCACAAACAACCGAATATCGATCGATATACTTAGGCTATTGATTATTCGATATATCGTTTTGTTAGTTAAGTTAGGTAAGGTTAACCTGCTATAACCTAACTACTTACTTAACCAAACTATATATTGAATTAAACAATTGAATAGGCCTAATCAATATTAAGTTTAGGCTAATCATTCGGTTGTGCCAAAAGATATGGAAGTGTAGGCCTACCCGGCCAGCCAATGGCTAAGATAAAGGCCAATGCCTAAGTTGACTTAAGTTAAATACTCAACTCAAAATAACAAAACTGATAAGGCTTTAAAGTACCAATTTATATCAGTACGGTAGGTAGGGTAAGGCACCCAGTGGTTGACACTTTTAGACCAGATAACGGTTAATATATTCATAAATAATGTTGGGTTAGAGTTTAAGAAGCCTTGTTGATGTTATTTATTGCTCTGAATCTTGAAGATTAAGATAAAAAATAATTAAACCTTTTTTACTATAATACAATACCAGAAAAATATTAAAACGCAAAGTCTTGCATCAGACCCAGTATTTGACACCAAAACCCAGTAGTTGACAGCTACTCACCCAGTGTTTGACACATAATTATAACTCAATTTGATTACAGAATATCACCATAAAAGCCAAATTAAACTATTAATAATCACAGGATTGGTTTTCTATTGATTCCATTGAAGAAACTAAGGTAAAAAAACCAAAAACAATTGGTAAATAGGCTTTAATTTATGCTTTAACATTACGATTAGACTGTGACACATGGGAACTTATAAAATATTCCATACTTAACAATCAGTCTTATTTTTAAACCTACTTATGGTAAACAAAACTTAGTGTCTTACTAATTCAATTTTTTTAGTGTGTTGTGATGTCCATAGTCCGATACAATTTCATTACCGATAAACAAAACAACTTACATAGCAATCATCTTCAACGTAAACACTATTTAAAAATGGCTTGTAGGCCTAGGTCTAATAATTATTTCATCTTAATAGACATTTCTGTTTTTACAAACAAATCAAAACAAATAGACACTTTTGAACTTGACTCAATAGGTATGGTTTAAGTAATTAGTATCAGTATGGGTGAGACATTTATTCCCAGGCCTGCCATTTGGAAATAACTTAAGTGACTGAGATTCATATCCTTTGATATCTGGCTTGTGGATATCCTCAGTTTTGGTAACAGAAAAGCATTTAGCAGCCATCGCCATAACCCAGTTAACCAACATCTTTTCCGAGTCAGTGCCTAACCTTGGAGCAGGGCCCATCGTTCTATCCATGGGGGTCTTCCCAGTTGATTTGTAGATGAAGTCAATAGCCTAAAACATATTAAAAGTATACTACATCAATCAGCTAGGCTAGCCTAGAATAGGTTTTGGATTAGAAAAATGCATTAATTGACACTTTAAAGCAAGATTTACACTATTGTCAAGCACTAGAAATTTGCCTTACCCAGTCCTTGACATAACTGTCAACCACTGGGTTCCAAGCACATTTCCGAACCCAGTGCTTGACACTGGTTTATTTCTATAATGGTTAAGGTTAGGTTATTTTAACTACAACAAAATTATAGCTTGTTTAATGCTGAATCCACTAGTACATAAATAAGTGTATTTTGATGATAACTGGTCAGGATGGATATGGATAAAAATTGTCTTACCTCTTATTTTTTTGCTTGAGGTTTAGGAAGTAACTGACATGTGTCTCTTCATTCTTCTATAGCAGCACTGAAATGAAACTTTAAAAAATTGGGACAGCTTATTTTTGGAGGGAATAAATTCAGCTATCACATGGCACCAAAAAAACACCTGTAAATCAATTTACAAACATGTGGCATGCACAAACTGTCAAAGTGTCAACCACTGGGTAGGTGTCAACCACTGGGTGCCTTACCCTAAGTTAAGTAATTCGCCATTAATGTATTAGAGGTCTAAGTACAGTAGCCTAGGTTGATTCAAAAATAGAATAGGCCTAACCAAGATTACTTATATATAGGTTACCCTGGCTAGGACTGAAGCCTAAAACCCTACAATTATCTAATAGATAACTCGAGGCTGCTCTTGCTAGTCCGTGTTGAAAATAAAAACGAAGATGTGGAAAAACAATTTGAAACCAGTAAAACATCTAAAACAATTAAAATAAGGTTACCAAAAAGAGTCAGATTTTCATTCAACAAAATTCACTTACTGACAAAAAATCTACTTCCACGAGAGACAAGGCATTTGACATAAACCCGGCTAGAGTATAGGAAGAGAGGCAGGAATTAAAATGTACTGTAACTTATAGCTATTTTAGATTCATGAAAATTAAAACCTCACATTCATTTAAGAACAATAACACAGTGTGTAAAAGACTATGCCGTAATCCTAAGCTTGAGATAGTAGTCTAGCTAAATTGTAAACAACGTTAATTCCGCAAAGGCGAAAGCCGATTCTTTCTTTCACAACAAAAACCCACACCTTTTTAACTTACCTTGTTACAGCAACAGTGTTTACAGTACAGTTGTATGTAGGTTATTATTAATTAACTGATGAAAAATCGGCTTTATTTAAATAGGAAACAGCAATATCGGAGAACTTCCAACGATGAATATCACTGCAGAAGTTTAAGTTAGGTGACAGCGATTTCAGACAGTCAGACAGGAACACGAACTAGGCGGTTGCAGCTCAGCAGCAGCAGCACATGCAACGATGCAAGAACAGATGTGAAATATTAAAATTTGCGCACAGTTTTGCGCAGGAAGAAACGGAAACTCTTGACTATATGCTACGGGTTGGAGACTTTTGGTCCGTGTGATTAGTCATGTGAACCTTTTCCGTGAGCAACCAAAGTTGTTAAACAGTACGAGGAAAATAAAAAAAAATAATATTAGTGGCGAAGCGTCGATCACGTAGTGTTAACTACTAATATATAATTTATTAAATACCTTTACTGCTGGTGCACAGCTACCAAAGGTAGTGGTGGCTGGTGTTGGAGTGATTATTCTTGTAGTCTGTCTAGACTGTAGGCTCAGGCTACCGTTAACGACTCACAAGGCACATGCACACCTTCATCAGTCATCTTAGTCTATCATTGTTATTGTTACCACCACAGTCTATATCGTTGGCATTTATTTATGTTTTTATTGCTTGCAATGCAGTTCACTTTTTGTTACCATTATTACTATACTCAAACTGTGCGAATAGCCTCTGCCTTTTTACTTTCTCCCCCTATACCATAGTATATGGAGAAAGTATTGTTTTCGTCAAAATTTTCGAGTTTGGGTTTTGATTGGATATATCCGTTTTGGGTCCCCCTAGACCCAATAAAGTGGTTTTCGAAGTGATGTCTGTGTGTGTGTGTGTGTGTCTGGATGTGTACAGGAGCTACAACAGAGTCAGAGCCGTCCGAAGGGGGGGGCAACCGGGGCAAGTTGCCCCGGGCGCCGCGGCTGAGGGGGCGCCGTGCAACGGCTATTGGTATTAACCCGAAATTTCGGGAAATTTTCGGGAAAAATCCCGATTATCAGGACATGATTATTGATTACATTTTATTCGGGATTATTTTGGGACGAGATTTGATCCGATCATCGGCGATTTTGCCGCTTCGCGAGTAACGATGACGCCGCTATCGCGAATGATGTTCACGGTAATTCCACTAACGCAGGAGGCGAAGTCATTTCGACGATCGCACCGTGACCGCAAGTCATTTGGACGATCGCGCCGTGATCGCGGAGTCATACCGACGATCGCATCGTGACCGCGGAGTCATACAGACAATCGCGCCGTGACCGCTAGTCATATCGACGATTCCACCGTGACCGCGAGTCATACCGACGATTCCGCCGAGACCGAGAGTCATACCATAGATAAAACATACTCCCTTAGTAGATTTCCTATCCTTATGGAACAGCTGAAGCCAATTTTATTGTT